GGATCGATATTTGTATTTCAAACAATTGCCGAGCCAGTGGTAATGATAGGTCAGCAGCTGTGATATTGATCATTTCCGAAAACAAGCTTTTTTCTACAGAAGTGTCAAGCTACTCATAAGTTTGCTGTGTACCGTGTATCAGTCGGTACGATATTCAAGATATTTTAGTCTTTTCTAGGAGAAAACTCACGTGGTTGCTGTCAAAGAGATTTCATATTTGTAAGTAGTTTCCTCCAGGAACACAAACTGCGATATCTCAAATATCGTATTAATTGTAAGATGAGGCGACCCGTGTGTAGCATATTTACTGAAAAATAGCACAGACAATGAAGAATCAGCTGGTATTCCGTTCAGCCTCCCGTGAGAACCAAAATGATTTGCAAATGAGTGTACTTGTCGAAGTCTCTTTGATTTGGTTACAAGTAGAACATAAAGTTGACGGGATTTCACCCAGCTGATGAGCCTCGAGAAGGGCGAAACCGGTCGTGGGTTATCGAGGAGCTCTCAGCAACCTTGTGAGTAGTCTCCTTTATTATGCCATGCCAACTAAAATATCAAGCAGTTAGATGAAGCACATTGAGTAGAGCCGGATCTTTCTAAACAAAAGATCTATCTGGTTTGAGTCTTCTAGTCTCCTTTATGAAATTATGCCAACTAAAATATCAAGCAGTTAGATGAAGCACATTGAGTAGAGCCGGATCTTTCTAAACAAAAGATCTATCTGGTTTTATTTGAGTCTTCTATCGAAACCAAATTCATGCGTGAATGACAGTATACGCCTGCGCGGTCTTCGGTGTGAATCTTTCACGATGCGTGTCTTGCAAGAATGGAGAAATCGGCTCATCGTCAGGGAAACACGCGATCGTTCCAATCAGTCACGTGACTGACACTAAAACTACTCAACCGCTCTCAGGAGCCAGATGTTCCGGGCAGATCTTTGTGACTTCTTTCTGCTTAGTCGGGGTAACGGAGTCTTCTTGAGTCTGAACAAAATGCGGTTTTACACACAGTTGGTTAAGTTTGAAAGCAGGTTCCGAACGGCACCAACCCAGTGCCAGGATAAATGTCTGATTTCCAAGACCCGAATGAGATAGAGACCCAAGGACTCATCGTTGTTCGACCAATATTGTCTTCATTCATCCTGCCAAGGCCAGTCTATTCTTTGACCGATACATAGCCGACGTGGATCGACGCGTGTAATTACGTGTCATCGCAGGTTGTATTAGCCGTGCTAGAGTTATCATGGAGGCTGTGATAAGCCAAACGGAACAGGAGGTTGCATGCTCAAAAACGAACGTTTTCGATTCCGTCCTGAGCTGAAAAGAAAATGCGACCACGTGCTGAGTTGGAAGGGTTCCCTTCGGAACTTTACCAGAAGCAGCCAAAGTGAAACCCATTCAACTGGAGTTAGTTCCTTGTCACCTGTGACGGAGTGCATCAAGGTCTACTTCAGGTAAATGAGTAGAACCACTTTTAAAGCTATGCAAGTGTTCTACAACCGAATCGGGACAAATTCATCGTACTACAAGAGTGAGAGAACGGGTTTCCAAGAAAATCACAATTTTTGCTGGTCTCGAGGGTAGTGCTCACTACTCAGATTGAGTAGTGTATGCTGGCGACTGAAAATAAAAAGGTCGTGACCTTGCCCCTAAAGTTGGCCACGTTGAAACACAATCCTCAGTGACCGACGGAGTCCAATATAGGAGGCCGGCTGTACTTCCATTTGTGCAGACGGCACTCCATCAGGAATGACTATGTTTACTGATTTTATGCCAGGCGCTGCTGTCCTCAGCACGCGGTAATAGTCAGACGAAAGGTTAGTTTATACCGGTAACTTAAATATGAATTTGAGGGGATTTCGGACACACAAAAACAGGGTCTTGGGTCCGAGGGAACTTGGACCTGTCAGATGTAAGCCCAAAGAAAAACGTCTTATAGGGTATCCTGTGTTTTAAAGGTCTGTTTGTTGTTCAATTCTATCCGAAATGTCGCAAAATGTTACTGCTGCTGGCTACTGAGTCTGTCGGTGAATTCTGTCTAATGAAACTCTGAGACGCTGGTGTTTTTCTGCCGTTTTCTTCAAGTTAAGAGGGACTTACGCTTTGGACGAATATTCTGGAAGCACATGTTTCTCAGGATATGTATCAATCGTCTTAACTAAATGCTTCATACTGTCGAACTGTCAAGCATTCAAACGGATTGCAAAATTCTTCTTCATTGGTTGTTTTCACTTTTCAGGACTGCCAAAATTCATCAAAGAGCCACCCGGAGTGGTATACTATTCATCAGCTGACTGGAAAGGAGGTGGGCAGCACGTGATCAATGCTGAGCTGGAAACCACTGTCTACCCGTTCAACTCCACTCTCTCCGTGGCCGCCGCTTACAAAGATAGTCCGGAACATCACATTCAGTTACCCATATTACGGTTGATCGGGGACCGTGATCAACATGGACTACGTGATTCGCCTAGCCAACCGTATGCCAGCCTCATACCTGTCACACAGTCCGCCTCATTTCCACCGCAAAATCCCAGCACTTTACTACGACTGGGGCTGTTCCCTTCCACACCAACCTCCGATCATCAATCTTGGTTGATTAAAGTGTACAACCTGTTTCCAAATATGATTCTGTATTTACTACTCAGCACTGAGTTGGGCACAATCAGGACTCGACCCATTCGGCTCATTCCGATTGGTAAGTTCCTCATAAAAAAATAAACGAAATATTTGAAAAGCGCACTCATTTGCATATTAATTTGATTTCGACGGAAGACCCACTTGAAACGCAGCCGAATCTCTTTTTTTCTGATGTTCTCGTACCAAGCCGCCTCATGTTCCAGCTAGTACGTTTTTGGCGATATGGGTGCAACACACTACTCACGAGGTCACTGAAGGTTCTTCGACAGCCAATCAGCCAATCGATGCATTCCCCCAATTTCCGCAAGCCTTATATTCTACTCAAAGAATAAAACCAAACACGGGAAGTGCTACTGGGATCAAGTGGCCCTCCCTTAAAAAACAAATTGGTACGCAAGTGAGCGCATTTCGCTCATTTTTTTCAGCAATTTGGCTTCAAGAAGAGCATGTATGTGAAGCCAATATGCGCTAAAATTGGAGAAAATTACCGGTAGTGCGGAACTTACAAAACTCTAGAGATCGCGACCTCCCTGCTAGCGACCAAATCGTTAGAATATGATCGGTTGATGAGCTGGGTGGTGAGCTGGGGATATAGCACCACAAACCGTCCAACCTCGTGAGCCCCATCACGTTGTAACACATGATGACTGATTCCTTGATGCAAGGTAAAAAACAGCATTGAAATGTTACCAAACCTCATCCGTCATGTTTGTGAGTCGCCAAACGTCTTGTGTACCCGCGGCATGGTCAATATATCCAAGCTCAAGTGCTTCATTTCTATGCGTTTCACTTATTCTTGTGATGTTTTGTCACGACTTACGTGAGTGAAATATTTACGTAGACTATCAAAACACTTCCACCGTAGGAAGCCGACCTTTTTCAAAACAAGCCAAAGTTTATTCAGGCGGATTTTTCCCCGGCATGCTTGCGCAAACAAGTCATGGGAACCAACAGTTTATTTACCACTGGCTTGGAATGCAAATGCGTTTTCAGATTGGGTGATGAGCGCCAAAAAGGGCAAAACCAGCCGTGGACTGAAGAAGAGATTTCAGCAACCTTGTGAGTAGTTTCCTTTACGAAAATATACTGCTAATTCTCGAATATCATGCCAACTGAAACATGAGGCGGCCTGTGTGCAGCGCACTGAATTGTAGAATATCATAAACGAGAGATTCAGTTGAGTCTCTCGTGAAAGCCCAACTGGTTTGCAACTGAGTGTATATCTCAAAAACAGTGCATTTTGGGTTCAAGTAGAACATAAGTTTGACGGAAACTCGGGGACTGCGCCTACCTGATGAGCCCCAAGAAGGGCGAAACCAGTCGTGGGCTGTCGAAGAGTTTTCAGTAACCTTGTGAGTAGTTTCTAATATCGTACCAATTTAAAGATGGAGCGGCGACCTTTGTGTAGCACATCCGGTTGAAGAACATCCGATTGGGGAGCGAGGATGGCTTCCAATTACTACTCATCATTGTCAGTAGTATGAGGAGATTATGGAATGTATCACTCAAGATTTCACCCAGTCATTGCAGTTGCTTTATACCGCATTTCATCGCATTTTGAAATCACCAACAAGATCTTGAATTTTCAGGGAGATTCGAGTGGTTAAACACTAAATCGTCCCTCAAAAGCGATTGATACGCAGCGTGATTAACTCTGAGTTATATGTATATATATGAATATATAGTGGGATTTATGCATATATAATGTGATTTCTAAAGTGTTGGATGAATGACACCTTACCCGGTCACACTGCTGATACCCCAACCGTTTAGTCTTCAACAACCAGCGATGAGGTCAAGAACCCGAATGTTGCTGGAGGTTGCTGAGTTGCGCGATATTGATCAACCTCAGTAAGAAGGAAGCAGTTGTACTGTGTCTCTCGGTTTATCGATATAAATCGGCTTCTCCCACAGGATGAAATCTTTATTGAAAAACACCTCGTTTTTGTTTGAGGTGCACAGCTGGTCAGTGCGATCAGGAATATGACAGGTGTTTGCAATGGCGGTCGTTCGATTGAAAGGATTTCTTTAGCGAATAGTCAGGGCATGCTGCAATTTCTTATTCACTTGACTTAAATTTCAAGTATCTAGCACCATTAAAGAAGCACAGACGAGACTCAGACACCTTCCAACCACAGTGTCAGACAATTTCTGTGTTGGCACAACAAGTGAATGATTCCGGCTGCGTATCCTGACAAGCTAGTGACTTACTTGTTGACTCAGGTGATAATCGTGATTGTCGGTTTGTGCTCCAAGCTGAGCCATCGCTATAAAAGAACAAAACGCGGTTAATCTGCATGCAATCCGCATGGAACAACGTCTTGTCGTACTCACCAGACTGCCAATCATTTTCTGCGAATGCAAACTGTGGAAAAGATCAAGAACAAGTCTCTAGCAGAGAGCCGTTGAGTTGGAAGTTACTGTCTGTTCAACCTAATTCAGCACAGGTCTGACTAACGGGGAATCTAAACAGGTGGCGTTATCGATGTGTTCTCCCGCTTTTCGTTTGTGCTTAGACACGGTTGTCTCTGAGTTCCCCTAGATACCTTCACAACAAGGGTCCTTAGGGAACCGGTTGCAAGGTTGCTGAAAATTGGGTGAGGAATTTCCTTCCGGTATATATACTGCGATATCACTAATGTCATATCAATTGAGATAGCTGAGTGACTACTGGCCGGAAGGACCGTGGTTCGAACCCAACCTTAGCATTTCAACTGCTAGTGTCCAGGCTTGGCCAACCTGACGGTGTGTTGGCGTTTTCTTTGGGTGGTATGGCAGCTAAGCACCGAAAGGACGTTACAGCTAAACGCTCCGCTTTTACCAACTGACCTATGAGGTAGTCTTTGTGCGGCACATTCATTTGAAGAGTAGCATAGACGAAAAATTTAGCTAAGTCGCTCTTTAAAAATCAAACTGGTGCCTACATCATCGCGAACTAATTTGAAGGTTTTAATTATCGCATTTGTGTTTGTTCACTCTCACTCGAAATTTACCACACCTATGTTTGTTTTACACCTTGTAGTCTGAAGTGTCCGCTCAGCCTGCGGGCATAGCAACAGTGCGAATGATCCATTCACTTATCGATGTGACCGAAGTGGGGAACGGGTGACATCTGTTGCATCGATTAGCTACGTTGCCCTCCTGTTTGGTCTGAGATCCCATCATGCGCTTTATGGTCTCCGGGGTTCTGGGTATGCAGGGAGTTCGCGCGAACAGACAGATTGTGGTTTTAGACGATGGTTCTCCGTTGAGGACTGAAATGGTTTTGCTTGTACCAGTTTTACTCTCGGCAGGGTTACGTGGCATTCGGGTGAAAACGTGACTGTTATTCTTGGGCTTTCACGCCACTAGAGCCCTAACAGATGGTGCATCTTGAGTATTACACTCCTGTTCCAATCTTGAGACTAAAAGGTCTAATGGGCTGTATCAATGGCGGATATCCAAACTGTGTTTGTTCACAAATTTTTAGGAAACTACGGGATCCAAACAATTCATAGATAAGAACATTTCTGAAAACTAAACTATCAGCCCCGTGACCATTAAATATCTAGCTGAATGTCTTTGTGCAAGTTCTCCTGTGTGTCCAAAACAATTTTATTGATTTGTTTACTTTTCATTCGATATATGCGCAGTTATAATTGTAGCCCAGGGAGCAATTTGAAACCAAATCGAATGATGAGATACTAATCAGCCTGCTATGTTCGGTTTTGAGTATTTTTGGCCAGGTGCACACATGTGTCCTAGTTGGACTGGCTTTTTTTCAGGCGCTACTTTATCAAATAAGACTTCCTGCCTTTATTCATAGTTACTTGTTCGGTTCGATTCCTCCCCACCACAACCCCGACCCCACCTCTTTGTTTGGAACCTTCAGAACTTCCACGTTTTCCACGCTATGCCGACGAACGTCTGTCAGTGTTAATTGGCAATACCGGACGCGTGATATGTCATCTGCCTCGATCCCAACCCAGCCTACCCGCGGTGAACTTCTACCATAACGGCAAACAAATTGACATGCTGACAGAAGGTGAGCGTTTCACAGGTGTGCTGATTCATCTTTCACAAGAATCGAATGTAATACGCCCGTGTTTGTGTGTGTTGTCGCGTTGGATAATAGGCCTTTTAAAGACTGTATTTACCGTTGAAGGCCCCCAAGAACATGGGCTACATGGGTTTTGAACCGTAGTGGTCGTGACAATCGGCTTGTCAAGAAACCGTCAACACAAATCCTCTTGGGTAGTAAAGCATACATTATGGACGACGCTCCTGTTGTGTACGTCTGTATGCTAAGAGGCCAGCAAAACCGACCGCATGTAAAAATACTATGAATGCCACTCAAAAGGGGTATGGACGATAATGGCATTGTCAGTGATGGTGATTCACTCTTCATCTTGGCTTGCATTGCTGGCAAAGGATACAGATCGCAGGTTGTGACACGAGGGTAGAGCCTCCTCATTGACTTTTCGTTTCAATCGGAATTCGCTTGATTGGCCAAAACCACTGTATTTTCGCCAATTTTTTTGCGGAAAACACGTTTCCAATGGCATCGAATTATCCTGCTGATCAATCCGGTCAATTTAAAAGAAACGCCGCAAATGATGTTTCTGCCGAAATAGAACAAATGCGACAATAGTTCCCAGGCTAACTAACGGATTTCTCCATTTTGATCCCTTGTCGATGTTGGACGCCTCTGATCCTCTGGGAGCACATCCATCCGAAATCGATTGATTTTCACAAGAACCTGAAACATGACGGTTTTCTAGAGCTAGCTATTGAGAATTTCAACACTGTGAAACAAAACAAAACGGAATTTCAATGTAAATTGAGTGAACCTACTAAATTTGAAATTCCTCTAGGAATCTGTTCCAGTGTGACGTCAGTACTTTTCACCAAAAACACGCTTTGTTTCTGTTCAACTTTTTACCACCGAAATATGTAAGTTCGCTGTTTTTGACTGACCGTGTAGCGGCGTCTTACGGTAACTGTTCCGAAGCAGTACAAATACGCTCCTAATATAACAGTTGTTTGGCGGAAAATCTTATCAACTGGTTATAAAAACTCGTGTTGTCTGATGAGCGCGAATAAGGGCGGAGCAGCTAGTGGGCTGTCTAGAGTTTTCTCCTTCATCATGAGTGAATATCGTTCTCCCTGAAACGTGCGTTAGCTGTGGCCTGAACTAGGTTTTCACATTTTAGACTGTCAACACTACTTGAGCGAATGTCACTGATTATCGACTTGGTAAAGACTGATCGACAAGACTATCCAGTGATCGATATGATCGATCTACATGCAGCCAACCAATGTTCACCCCTGTGTCTACTTCAAAGACCTAAAATCATCATTTTCCGGAAACCACGTAGGGAGACATAATACCAGGGAATTGTTTGCCTGTTCATACAATGATTCAGTTCTTTGCTTTAAGGCTGTTTGTCGGTAAACGTGATTCATATATTGATATCTATCTCTTGTTGGAGCTAGGATGTAAGTGCCGGGTTGCCAGGTTGTAATAACCACAAAGTGTGTTGACAACACTATGTAGGGCTGTTGTTTTGTGCGTTACTAGACCGGAAATGTTCTCATGGATACCCCGTCGCACAATACTACTTGTCAGCCAGGCGGACAGACAACCGAGAACAACAAGGACGCTTGTCAAGATGGCCAATGCTAATTGGGAAAGTAGGGTGTCTCGTCTCTACAAAGCTTCGCCTTTTGGATCTTTTGCCGCTGTCTGGTACAATGCGACATTTTCCACTCACATATCTCCTCAGTGATTTGTTTTGATCGATAATTCAAAGTCTGTCGGAAAGTATACAATCCGTACAACGTTTTTTTTACTACAGTACACTTTACACTTTCTTGTTTTTGCCAGATGACATGATTCAAACAAGGTATTGATTTTATCCCAGGGACATGATTCAAACAAGGTATTGATTTTATTGCAAAACTGAAAACAAAATATTCAGGGAAAGGTTATCTTGATTCAGTAAAAGGCAATTTTTATTCAAACATTAGCGAGGATGACAAAAACTGAGCGTAATTCGTGACGGTTGCCTGCATCTGAGGCTTACGTTCAAACCTGTGCCCAGAGTGGCTGCCTATACTTAACAAACAGTACTCATTTATTTCAAAAGGGTTCTTGGAGGGGCCTGATCCGAAATATCTTTTTTGTAATTGTGGATGTAACTCGGATTCCAGAAGTGACAGAATAAGTTTGTCGCGGACTTAAAACATGTGACCCGTATCCACATGGGTCCCATATTTTATCTGGACTACTTGATATTGATCTGGCAGGTTCCTAAGAGTTGGTTTCTGCTTCTGTAAAATGAATTATTTACATAATCTCCACGTTTATCTTTAGCCTATGGCTATAGGTGTCACTGTTTTTCGTAGTTCTGGGACTTCAGTTCAATGTATCAGCTATGCGCCGTTTACCAAGTGTACAATGAATTATTTACATAATCTCCACGTTTACCTTTAGCGTATGGCTTTAGGTGTCCCTGTTTGTCGTAGTTCTGGAACTTCAATTCAATGTATCAGCTATGCACCATTTACCAAGTGTAAGTTGGTTCACCGGAAAGCTGGAGTGTGGGACATACAGCCAAGCTTCGGAAGCGATGGCATGTCCAGTTAGTTTAGGAACTGGGTAGTCACGCATTGAACGTGATAGCTTTGATGCCACTGACTATGTGATCGAGCCATTTCTGTTGATGTGATTAACCAGTAATGAGCTGAGTCCTGTGGCACCCATCCAGTGGTTGTCAACCCAGTTTCGTACTTAGTTGAGAGGTTACATAGTGTCCATCTGTTGGTCGCTTCCACTCGCGGCATGGTTGGACGAAGAGAACAGCATCAAGTAGACAGTCTTCTGGCATGTGGAGTACAGGTCTTAATCAGTTTAAACAATGAGTTGTGAGTCTATCGTGGGCAAATTCCTTCTTCGTAAAACCATCTGACACCAAAGTTCCCTGCCGACCAAGAAAGTTATTGGTTACACGCTCTTTTTTGTGGGGTCGTTAACCCTACGGGAAAGGTAACATCATATAACCCTCTGCGATTTATTTGAAAATTGTTTTACTAACTAACAATCATGTGCGACTTTCCCCTGTCCTCAGCATCCCGCTATCGATTGGTCTACGTCGGTGGTGACGGATCAGGAACTCCGTGGTCTTCGGGCAGATCAAGAGGTCCCAGGCGCGATCCTCTGTTTTGGCAGCAAATGCCCAGTGCTGTCATCCTATTCATCCACCCTCTGGAGCTGTCCGACAGTGGAGAATACAGGTGTGAAGCACAACTGATGGAGCAGGTCATCATGGCCGAACAGAAGACCGTGTTGAACGTCACAAGTGAGATCCTTTGTGTGTTGTTTTGCAACATAACCGAACGGCTAGAACCCCTGACGCCAAAAACGATGCAAAAGTAACTCAAGGTTGAACTTATTTACCAAGGACAAGTGACTCACGCAACCTCCGGGGGGTGTGGGGAGCTGATGAGTTCAAAACAGTAAGCACTAACTTCTATTGACCTTGACACGCCAATGTAGAAGACTGAATGAATGTCCCCTTTATCATCATGGTATCACTGTCAGACGGATCGATGGGTCAAGTAACCCTGACAAACTTTGAATCCGGCATTTGGAAGCATCCACATTTCGGCAGCTCGGAGATCGAAATCAAAACAAAGTGAACTACATAGTCAGTAACGCAGCATGAGATCATGAGGGATATTTAAACATCTTTACTTGAGCTTGCTCATTCAGATAATTTTCGTCTATGCAGGGAAGCCGAAGCTGAGAATAAACCATTCGAATACAAGTGACTGATCAGCAGTGCGAATAAGGCAGGATAAATTGCCGCTCAACGCCCAAACAAGAAGTCCACATCACGTGATCATTCCTCGATTGACTTTGTCTAAGTTCATACTATACAGAGTGTCGGTCAGCTGACCGGAGGTTTTAGTATTCGGCTACTAGCCAAGAGTTTGTCAGCTAGGATATGTTCGCAGACTCGTGAGATTCGCACTGCGGATTAGTTCCGATAGAGATAAAACGACGGTGATACAATACCTCCCAATATTTCTGTATGAATGCCGCCCCTGGTGCTTGAAAAGTGCTCCAGAAACCTTGTTTTTGCAGCAACCCCCCTATCAGTAAAATGAAGAAGGCCTTCGTTGCGGAGGTATTTATTGGAGAACACCAACTGAACAGATATAAACTATTGGACAGAAAAACAAGACTCTCATAAAAACTGAATATCCGTCTTCTTCTTGAAAGCGTCTTCCTAAACTTTCCTGAATATTCATCGACTGCTACTCAAATGCAAACGAATGCTACAAAGCAATTTCACAAATTACATAATAAATCACACTTTCCAATATATGCGAAGCGGAGTTACGAGAAGCCACATACTGCTCGCGTGCCAAATCAGTAGTATCCGCCGTTACATTAGCAGGTCTTCAAACTACCATTTCAGAGTCTGAACACTCCACATGTAGCAGTTTGTTTGTCTAGAGTGGCGAGGTTCGTGTATAGACTTTCGAACCAAAAGCTGAACACAGCTCAGGCTTGCGAACTTATGCAACGGGTAGTCGATACGATGAACACGGGAATGCACCATAGTAACCGTAAACTGGTCTGCCAAACGTCGCGATATTTCATCTCAGCATACAGAATCTCTCACTGAGGGTGACCACCTTAACTCATGTGTTTGTCTCCTTCAAATTCGCCCGGAGCAGCTCATTTGTTTAGCGCTTGCTTTGCTTGAATTAGTTTGGAACCTTGTCACAGACCCGCAATTCACGAAATTGATAGTTTCTACCTGATAACACAAAACGGTGTCCGAAGATTCATCAGAATATTGTTTGCTCGAGTGCTTTCATTGGTGATAGTTTGTCAGCTAGGATATGTTCGCAGACTCGTGAGATTCGCACTGCGGATTAGTTCCGATAGAGATAAAACGGCGGTGATACAATACCCCCCAATATTTCTGTATGAATGCCGCCCCTGGTGCTTGAAAAGTGCTCCAGAAACCTTGTTTTTGCAGCAACCCCCCTATCAGTAAAATGAAGAAGGCCTTCGTTGCGGAGGTATTTATTGGAGAACACCAACTGAACAGATATAAACTATTGGACAGAAAAACAAGACTCTCATAAAAACTGAATATCCGTCTTCTTCTTGAAAGCGTCTTCCTAAACTTTCCTGAATATTCATCGACTGCTACTCAAATGCAAACGAATGCTACAAAGCAATTTCACAAATTCCATAATAAATCACACTTTCCAATATATGCGAAGCGGAGTTACGAAAAGCCACATACTACTCGCGTGCCAAATCAGTAGTATCCGCCGTTACATTAGCAGGTCTTCAAACTACCATTTCAGAGTCTGAACACTCCACATGTAGCAGTTTGTTTGTCTAGAGTGGCGAGGTTCGTGTATAGACTTTCGAACCAAAAGCTGAACACAGCTCAGGCTTGCGAACTTATGCAACGGGTAGTCGATACGATGAACACGGGAATGCACCATAGTAACCGTAAACTGGTCTGCCAAACGTCGCGATATTTCATCTCAGCATACAGAATCTCTCACTGAGGGTGACCACCTTAACTCATGTGTTTGTCTCCTTCAAATTCGCCCGGAGCAGCTCATTTGTTTAGCGCTTGCTTTGCTTGAATTAGTTTGGAACCTTGTCACAGACCCGCAATTCACGAAATTGATAGTTTCTACCTGATAACACAAAACGGTGTCCGAAGATTCATCAGAATATTGTTTGCTCGAGTGCTTTCATTGGTGATTGATCACGAGGTCGTTCACCTGTTTCCCGAGCTTGACAATAAGCTTGCAAGTGATTCGTCAGCAATCGAGGAGACATCATTAGGTGCGCTTGAATGGGCCATTCCTTCACTGGCATGTATATACCTTTAAGGGATCACCTTGCTTCTAGTTGGTTCTTCAAGTATATTCATATCAGGTTGCCGCTAGAGAAAGTGGACCGACCCCCTACTAATTACGTCACCAAGACTGATGACGTCTGACGTCTGATCTGGCCAACAGATTAATCAATAGACATGATATCTGTCGGCACATGGGAACGAATACCCCGGTTACGTTGAAAAAAGACATCACAAACGATTAAAACGGCGGCTCTAATGATGGTACCCATCTTCAGAATTGTAATGTCGGGGTCTCAGTTTCCAGGAATTTCACTCAGAGCTTGGCAGTTTAAACCAAGTTCTGGAGAAGAACATTATCGTTGTCTGTGATGAGGCCACCAGAATGACAGAATTTATTTTGACCAGGCACTTTCATGCATAAACTGCATGTTATAAGATCTAAAGTTCACCCAAGAACATATGCACTCGTTTGGTTGTTCTTCGATTATCGACTGATCCTTGAGGGGTCATTAACTGCGCTGAGCAATCCGTGAGATACAGCAAATGGAACGTCCCACAAAACAATGCACTTTCAGATTGGGCAGAATTTTAAAAAAACTTCCTGATGGACCCAATTAGTTCTGCTCAATTCAGAGCAAAGTCCCAGATTCACTCCCATCGTCCTAATTTGCATCGGACTGATGTTCAAACCACTGATGGACAGACCAGCTAAAACCAGGATGACAAGATCAAAACTTTTCTGGACAGAGGTAAAAAAGCAGTAATGCGTGATGTTGATTCGAAATGACGGCTTCACTGTTCCACAGCTGAAAGTTAAATTTTCCTCGGGAAAAATATCTAGCTAACTCAGCATCGGAATTCACCAAAAAATCGACATTTTTGACGTGTTGTATTTTTGCAACATGCAGACAGGTGAGTTTTATACGTGGCTGAGACCAGACTGTCTCCAAACTGTCAGTATTGCTTATGTTTGAGTGTGTAGTCCATTATGCGAGCACATGTGATTGCTAGGATGGCGAAAGTGTGTTTGGGGTAACCAAGTGATGAGTGAATTTTTTTCGAGCGTTATTGTCCGCGGGACAGTTTTGAAAGTCGTATTTCTGAGAAAATGTATGAGTATACTAATCTCTTCGACGTCTGTTGAGTGAGTCCACGTGAAATAGGTTCTCCAGTTTGTCTCGGATAGAAATGATCTGATTGCCCGTTGTTGTAAACTTTGATTTTGTTAGAGGGTAAACTATCACAGGTTCTATTCATCCCTGAGGGAAATTCGAGTGAAGACAAACCTACTGCGAGCCAACACTATCATACCAGTTCTGTAGTCGATAAGACCAGGAAATGAAAGCTACCAGTTCAATAATAAACGGTCTGTAACCAGGGCGTCAGCTAAAGACTTTGTCTCAATTTTACATATAAGTATATCGATCGACAGAGTCGAACGGTTCGTGGTTCGAATCGTTAGGGAAGACCGGTCACAATGCTCAAGCGTGAAAACTTTCGATTGTCCATACTTACTTATTCAGGTGCATACAGTATTCGCTGTTGGTTCTTAGAACAAATGTCCGGTTCGGACTAGGCATCATGTGTGTTCTGACGCAGAGGGACCAACAGTTCAATGCGGCGATGTGGTTGGATCTCAGGTTGTTGAGGGAGGACAGCTAAGAACAAAAGTAGACTCACCAAATCTAGCACTCTACTCATAAGGTTGCTGAAATATCTTCTATAGCCCAGATCGATTCCACCCTACATGTTGGTGCAATCTTTAAGCTGTCCTGAACCTTATGTGCTACTCGAACCCTGTCGTGATACTTCGACTATTGTACCAACTGGAACAGGAGGCGGCCTCTTAAACGAGAGTTCCTGTCAAAACCAAATTAATGTGCAACATACGGAGAGAGAGGGCATTTGTCGAACGCGCGTGTATTCCGTTTGCTTCACACGGCACCAACTAATCACAATTTTACGATGAGTTCCAGCTGAATGTCCGATAAAAGTGTCTCGAACAAAATAAAGCAAAAGTTCCCTCAAAAATAGTTTGGTATGAATTGTCCGTATGCATGAAGTGGATCTGGTAGCATGTCCAGTCATTGACCAAGTACTTTTAGAATCCATCCACACGCAGTCTTCTAAATGCTGGGGGGAGAGATGGCTCAAGTGGTTAGAGCGCAAATTTACTGACCGGAAGGTCCGTGGTTCGAACCCGATCTCTGCATCTCGACTTCTCCTACCTAGGCTTGGGCAACCTGGCGGGATCCCATCCCTCGTGCTTCCTTCCAGTAGCTAGCGGCAGCTAGGCACCAAAAGGGTGTTACAGCTGAACGATCATTACTTATTTATCTACCAGCCGTCGGCTGCACGGAAATTCCTGTTCCTTTGTACGCCCCAGTCCTATTTACGTACCGCGGTCCCGGTCGTCCATGGTTTCGAAATCTTTCACCTTACACAATTCTACGGCATGATCTGCCAGCGGTTATCCTAGACATTTCGTGGTCTTTTACCACCAGGCCTTGTTTACCATGATGAGATGTCGTGATCTGCACTTTATTCATTTGTTTCATTTATTGCTGAACCATGGAATGAAGGGCAACCATTTACAGCTCAAGCCGTTTGCACAGCAGTCAAGATAAACACTGAAAAAATGTGAAAAAGCCTATGTGAGACTCCATCATACACGCTCATAGCTGTGTTACTGACCTCTTCAAACCTTATATCACGATGGTCACCACACTGACCATACCCAGGCTGTCATCGTCATCAGCAAGTAGACTGGCCTGCCGTTCTTACGGTCAGCTGCTGCAAGCAAGTTCATATCTTCAAACAATTTCGGTCGCCTAATCAATATGGTTGATTCCCAACAATATGGCTGCCGAATTAGTGCTGCAGTTGGATAAAAAATTACATTGTCATCAATACTTCCATTTCCCTCCCGCTATTCATTTCAGAACCGTTAGCGAAAGTCAAGGCAAGACTACAGTTCTCTGCAGATGATCCAGGACTCTCCTATCTATACGACATTTACATGTCCTCACAAATGGTGTCCGGAATCAGAACACTGAACGTCCCCGTGGGATTGAACTTGACGCTGTTTTGTTTGTTCGAAGGGGCACCCATCGTCCCCACGCGGTGGTACTACGACGGTGCGCATAAACATTTCAGAGAAGACTCGAATTTCGGTGAGTACAACTGTTCGATTGTCTTTTTGGTACTTATTGAAAGCAGGTCTAAATAACCAGTGTCAGATGAAAGAACAGTGTTTCACAGGCTCTCTATAAAGTACGCAATTCTTTATAACTAATCAGATTAAGTTAATTACAGGTGGAGTCGATAGAAAAAATGACTGACACAACATCCTAATTGCATTTTGGAGGATGGCAGTGAAGCTGTGATTCGGCTGTCTGGTTAGTCCGATCTAAACGAGCCTAGGCATACTTGCTTACACTCAGCGGCATCAATCAGTTATCAGACAGCTTGAAATTTAATTACCCGGCCCGGCTGATCGATAATGACGCTGGGACGTGGGACAAGCACGCATATGCGACGGTTCATTGTCCTAATCTAGGTCACGTGGTCACAACTTATTCAGTCATGAGTGAGTTCAATCAGAACTCAAAAGTATCTCATGCAGTTCAATGCAAATCATCTGTCATTATGACTCACGTGGTCATGCTATGTTGAGCAATCTTCAATTGAACTTCTTGTTGTTCATTCTGGTTGCTTTCAGCTTGGAAATGCTATTGAAAACATTTGTTTGACGCAACGTTAGAGAGACCGATGTGAATAGATATACCTACTACCAGACCTTCACCACATAAGGTTGACAGTTGGGAAGCGCGCGAATCTGTTCTTTTTTTCTTACAAATTTTTGTCCCGACCAAATTATTAATTATGGTAAGGGAAGTCGACAAATTCACTCATCCAGTGAGTACCTTCCCTTGTTGCTCTATCCAAAATGAGACGAATAAATCACGGATTTAGTATTCCGCTTGTTCACTGGGGTGTAAAGGAAACTACCGCTTGAGAGCTTTGAGCTTGCCGTCACTTGAAAATTGATGACAATAAATCACGGATTTAGTATTCCGCTTGTCTGGTTCGCTGGTGTGTACAGGCAACTTTGCTTGACAGCTTTGAGCTTGGCGTCACTTGAGAATTGATGATTACGCTACTCCGAAGCAGTAACAAATCAGATTGAGTATGTTTTGCTATTCGGCTTCTTGGATCCCCTGACCTGGGCGACCAATCAAAACAAATGAAACCAAGAAGGATGACAATATCGTCTGACAACCCGTGAAAGTCACTGAAAAATCTTGAAATATCATAATTTTTGCAGATGCACGCGCGAAAACCACCGTTTAGACGAGTTTACCGGCTACCTCATACATTACAAAGTTGAAACAGCAATCAAAATTCCTCTTTCTTTGCCCAGAATTCACTTTTTCAGAGCGGACAATCCTGCACTCCTATTTGCTAGGGCTTCTTCAGAAGAACGATTCTTTGTGATAGTTTGTCACGGCATTGCAATCCTAGAGGGAATTCTCCCACAAGTCCCTAGGGCACGTCACAGCTCGAATCCCCTCTGATACAACGAGCTGGCTCATCATCTTGAACAAGTGGTTTTGTTTGTCTAAGGTCTGTTCATCAAGACACGGGGTAACAAATCAATCAGTATGCCATAATCTGACGGCCGCGTTTCTATTGTATTCAATCAACATGAAATTCCAAATTTCAATGCATTGATTGGGACGCATACTTGTGATCCCTTTAATCCCGTGTATCCGACCTCCAAAAAAACGTTTTAGCACAACAACCGCGTTTTTGGAAAGTACTCCTGGACTCTGCCAACCTTTCTTTAATGACTCCACACGTTTTTCATCTGACTGACAACAGCTGTTCTGTTTTTCGAGAACATTAAAAAGGTGCCCCCTCTCATCAGAAAAATGAGTGTATGATGCATGAAACCTGCCTCAATACCTCTACTCGTTTTCGCCGTTTACGCAGAGTCAGGTAATGCAACAGTTCAATGCACTTTTTTGTATTTTCATGGACAATAACCGATGCTCATTTTTTTACTCTCTATTGAAACAAACGAACTGCCAAAATTGACTTAGCTGTCGCTCTGATTTTGTCGTGTCCACAGTGGCTGAGAGGCGATGTGTCAAAGTATGCAACGAAATACACTCGTTTTGTATCGAGTAAATATGCTGCGGTATC